TCTCATTCCTTCCCTACTCATCAGCAGCCACTTCCTGATTGCTGAAAAGGGAAAGGAAGGGAAGGAGAAGGAAAGAAGGAAGGGAAGAAGGAGGGAAGAAGGAGAGGAAGGAGAAGGAGAGGAAGAAGGGAAGAAGGGAAGAAGGAAGGAAAGGAGAAGGGACAGAGAGGGGGAAGGGGAAGGGAAGAAGGAAGGAAAAGAGTTGGGAAAGAGAAAGGAAGGAAAGAAGGAAGAGAAGGGAAGGGAAGAGAAGAAGGAAGGGAAGGAGAAGAAAAGGAGGGAGGGGGAAGAAGGAAGGGAAGGAGAAGAAAGGAAGAAGAAAAGAAAGGAAGGAGAGGAGAAGGGATGGAGAGGGGGAAGGGGAAGGAAGAAGGAAGGAAAGGAGATGGGAAAGAGAAAGGAAGGGAAGAAGGAAGAGAAGGAGAAGGGAAGGGAAGGAGAAAGAGAGGAAGAAGGGAAGAGGAAGGAAAGGAGAAGGGATGGAGAGGGGGAAGGGGAAGGAAGAAGGAAGGAAAGGAGATGGGAAAGAGAAAGGAAGGGAAGAAGGAAGAGAAGGAGAGGGAAGGGAAGGAGAGGAAGAAGGGAAGAAGGGAAGAAGAAAGGAAGGGGGAAGGGATGGAGAGGGGGAAGGGGAAGAGAAGAAGGAAGGAAAGGAGATGGGAAAGAGAAAGGAAGGGAAGAAGGAAGAGAAGGAGAAGGGAAGGGAAGAAGGAAGGAAACAGGAAGGAGAAGGGAAGGGAAGAAGAGAAGGAGATGGGAAAGAGAAGGGAAGGGAAGAAGGAAGGAGAAGGGAAGGGAAAGGAAGGAAGGAAAAGGAAAAGGGAGGGAAGTAGAAGTAGAAGGGAAGAGAATGGAATGGGAGGGAAGAGATGGAATGAGAGACAGGAGGGGAGAGGATTCTTGAAGAAAAATTGAAACTCCAATTTTCGCAATCTAATACTTCATTTATGACACCACCCTCATCTAGACAGAGGGAAAGATGATCTGACTGAACAATAACCATTGAAATCAAAAGCGCAGTAATAAAGTCGGTCAGGTCACGTAAATTACTACTTTCTGCCTACCCTTCTTTTTCCCCCAAGTAAATGAAGCTCTACCGCAATCATGGAGATTGTATTTTATTTCATTTTTCTCAATGCATGATAAGACCATCCATGGGAAGGAACCCTTTGTTTTTCCTTCCTCCTCATGCATCCTGTCCGGTTCCCTCAGCCTCAAGGCAACCCTCCCTCATTCAACCGGTACTCTGCATCCAGCGAGCAAGATGATACTTCTATGGTCTTCCTCGCAGCAGACACCAGCCAGCGATCCCACTACGTGCTTAACGTCGGCCGCACACGGTCCCCCTTGCTCATCGTCATTCTTCTCTTCATGCTAATCCTGCAGGGATGCAACAGAAAGATGCTTTCAGCGTCTTCAGTCACAGTTAGAAATGTGTCAGTTTCTAATGTGTCAGTTGAAACTAGGACTTTGGATCATGTTGCTTTCCAACTCAATCATAAAAATACATTGGAGCCCATCTGTTTCTTTCTATGCGCACGCAAGGGATTTTGCTTTCCGGATGCCATGAGTTCATCATCACCATCCTGTTCCCGGTTTGCATCTTCTACTTTCCTTCCACACCCCCTGCAGAGGAGGAAAAAAAAGAAGATCTCGACCATCGCTCTACCCACCAGGGCAAATGAAGCAATGTCTCTAATGTTTAATTGAATTCATGCTCTGGTTTCGATTTGATTAATTGTTTAAAAGCTTTACTTGGCTTTATTTATTTAAGATATTCCCCTCCCTTTGTCTATTTGTGTTTGTGTGTGTGTGTGTTCTTTTAGGAGGAAGCACATTATAGACCATGTTTAATTTAAAAAAATATTTAAATATGATAGAAAAAAGCACCAGAAGGCAGGAGAAGAAGCAATGGAGGGAAGCCAATCAAGAAGAGAAGCAACCTGGAATTAAGGAGAAACTTCCTAACTGTTCTGCCCCAGCTACGGACCCCAAAGAACGCAGCACATACAAAGTCCGTTCAAACCTTAATTTATTAAATAAACCAGTCTTTTACAACAACGGCTGTTAATTAATTGCATTAGCAGCCACCAAGAATTCAAAGAATAATAACTGAAAGCTTACTATGGTTGGCAGAATGCCCAGAAGCAATTTGCAGGAAGCTGATAAGATAAGCAAGACAAGACACGAAGGTATGTGAACCAAGTTGTTCCCTGCAAATTGCTTCAGTCGGCGTTCCTCCTTAAATAGGCTTGGGGAGTGGCCAATTAGCCCCAAGCCTTACTCTCAAGGAGACCTCCTCCTGAGGAGCCACTCCTGCCTTTTGGCAGCTCTGTGTGCCCGTGCATCGAGAAGAGGCTCCTCCTCTTTGTCCTCTTCACTTATGGGAGCTTCTGGAGGTTCTGAAGGCCCTGGCTGAATCCCTGCCTCTGGCACCACATCTTCTCCAGCCTCCTCATTGTCTGACTCAGCTACTAGCTGCACAGGCCGCGTACGGGCCACAACACTAACAGTGAGGACAAGTAACCAATGGAACAGCTTTCATCCAGAAGTTGTAGGTGCTTCAACACTGGAGGTTTTTAAGAAAAAACCAGACAACCACCTATCTGAAATGGTCTAGTCTAGTCTTGCTTGAGCTCGGGGTTGGACTAAAAGACCTTCAAGATCCCTTCCAACTTAATTCTGGTTGATTGAACTAATCAAGGAGAGAAGCAACCTGGAATTAAGGAGAAACTTCCTAACAGTGAGAACAATCAACCAATGGAACAGAAGTTGCCTTCAGAAGTTGTGGGTGCTTCATCACTGGAGGCTTTTAAGAAGAGAACATCTTCCCGAGTTCAAAATGCCCTGCCCTCAACCCACATGGCAGTGCTAAGTGTGAAACAGATGGCTTCCACCATGTGTTGTGGGAAGTGTTTTGACCTTTGAAACACAGTTGGTGTTTCGAACTCAAGAAAAGTTTTCAAAAGAAGTGGAATTTGCACATGTCATGTTGAAACTGCCCTTTGGAAAGAAGGGCATTTCAAGTCTGGAACCAGGCATTTCAAATTTTAGTCCTTTTATTATTTATTTTATTTGCATTGTTATTTTGTTTACATTACTTTATTTTACTTGCTCCTTCACTACTTATCTTTCATGTCAATGGACCGATTATTAGAAATATGTATTAATAAGGAAAAAAAGATGAACAATATCTCAACGATGTTACAGTTGATGAATGTATGGGTATTTGAGTCTATTGAAAATGTTAAAATTTCCCTACAAACTTTTAAGAAATTTCTATTTGTCCAATAGATAAATTCCATTTTTTTTCCTGGTTTTTGCGGCCTGCTTTTGTCTTCATTGCTGAGATCAGAAGGTTGTCCCTTTTGTTCAAGAATAAATTATATCAGCCTTATCAACCATATGGATTAATTAATTGCTTCGTTATCTGTCACAGTTTCCCACGGATCTCTCCAAAACTGCTCTTTTATTATTCACTATTAGTTTTAATAAACATTAATTGGGCTTATAATTAATCACTAAACAACTGCCTGCTGACCTTTCTAACACTTTGCCTATTTTCGACTTCTGCCTACACAATAAAATATTTGTTTTTGCAGGCCACCGATCAATAGTCCATTTATAAAACCAGTCCACAGCCTTCTGTTTTGAATCGGTATTCCTTTAGACAAACATATCAGGTCTCTTTGCTTGAAATAAAACAAAAATTGTCATCTCATATTTTTTAATCTCTTCCTTCAGGATCTTGAATAAGGACAGAAATGTTAATCCTTCGAACTATATCTGTGTAACTCAAGAGTTAAATCCAGAGGTGGTATTCAGAGCTGGTTCGAACAGGTTCGCTCGAACCGGTAGTGGAAATTGTGGATGGGCCTGCCTCGGCTTTATGCCATCCTATTTAGGCATGTTTTTGAGGCTGGGTGCATGTGCACAGGCGCATGTACCAGCAAAGCACATGCATGCAAGGACAGGAGCATGCATGGATCAGGCGCATTTGCGCACACGCTCGCATTTACGAACCGGTAGGGAAAGTAAGTGGATACCACCCCTGGTTAACTCTCAAAGGTACTTTTTTCAAGAGGCAACTGGACTTTCTTGTTTTTCTTCAAAGACGTTTCGCTTCTCATCCAAGAAGCTTCTTCGGTTCTGACTGGATGGTGGGGAATGGAAGGATTTATGCTCCTTGCAGACAACTAGTGATACAGATAAGCCTCCAGGTGGCCTCAATGACTCACTAAAATAATGCAAATTACCAGCTAACAGAAAAGGATATACAGTAAATCCTTCCATTCTCTACCATCCAGTCAGAGGCAACTAGACTTTCTGGGCTTTTTTTGGAAGATGTTTCGCTTCTCATCCAAGAAGCTTCTTCAGCTCCGTCTGGATTCTGTTCGTGTCGCCTTACAATAAAACAGAATTAGTTTGCTGAATCTGGCTGTTTTTCTTGTCTGGTTTACCTGGTAAAGCTGATGAGTACACTATTTCTTGGGCTTCATTTTTTCTTCAGATTAATACTTTTTGCTAGAAAGGCATAAGTAGATGTTTATGAAAGCTTTGAATCAAATTTGTCAGTCAGAAAAGATACTACCGGATTCCTTTTCACGCTAAAGGCAGGATATAAGGCGATAATCTGGCATGAGTTTCTGGAAAGATCAAAGACATCCGAGCTGTAGAATTTGAATTTGGGCAAAGAGGGGGGAAAAAAAGGAAAAGCAGAATTAAATGCATACAGTATAAACACACAAGGAAGTTCAGATTGAAAAAGAGAAAGGGGAAAAAGAAAAAAAAAAGCTTCGAGTCTACCACAAAGAGCACTTCATATTTTTCACTTCCCTTTAAATAACTGCTGCACTTATCTTCGAATGACGGTGAAAGGAGCAGGTCATTCGGTATATTAGCAAGAAGATGTCAGTGGCATGACAGCCGGGATAATGAAAAATGCAGAAATAGAGCATGTCTCATGAATCTTGCGCTGAAAATAAAGGCGGAAAAAAAATTCAGCATGGTGGAAAGCAACAGCAAGGCAGGGAGTGTAGGAGTGTAAGAGTGTAGGATTTGGGGAAACAAATTGTTGTATGAACAGCTCCAGAACTTCCTTAGGAGATTAAGCACACAAAGAGTTACATGTATTCTAACGCTAGGTATAGCTTAGTGGTGGGTTGCTACCAGTTCGCCCCGGTTTGTGCGAACTGGTAGCAGCAGTGGCTGGAGGCTCTGCCCACCCACCCAGACATCATTAAATATTCTCTGCACATGCACAGAAGTGGCGAGTGCACGACCGAACTGCTAGTAAAGGTAAGTGAAACCCACCACTGGGCTAGCTGTAATAATTTTGAAGTGTTCTTGGTGCACTCTGAGCTTGTTTGTTTTCTTGCCAACGTCTCATTACCTAAATTAGGTGACTTCGTCATGATGATAAAGCTGCAAATATTCTCCTTTATTGTAATCTTTGTAATCATTTTGTCTAATCTTCCTTCCTTAGGTTGTTGCAGCTTGCATTAAAAAAAAAAAAAAAGCCAGATGAAAATTAAAAGAGCAAAGGAGGGTTTATTCTAAGTTTTAATTCTCCATTTCTAAATCAGTAATATCTTGGCTGCTCAATGTTAATTAAGCTTTAGGTCTACATTAGCTGGGTTTTAAACTTGCAATCTATCTTCATGAAATATATGCAAAGATCTCAATATTATTTAACTGAAGACATGTGTCTTGCAAGTGAAGTTCAGCTCCTGATGATTTCATATTTCGTGTCCACGTCAATACCTATTTGGTTTTCCTGGCAACTGTATAGAAATGATTTGACATTGAATAATGTTCCCGATTCTACAATTTGACACTGGGCTTAACAAGGAGATAGAGAGAGAAGAGAGGAGAGAGGAGAGAGAAAAGAGAAAAAAAGAAAAGAGAGAGAGAGATGATAGATAGATGGATGGATGGATGGATGGATAGATAGATAGATAGATAGATAGATAGATAGATAGATAGATAGATGACACAGAGAGAGACAGACAGAAAGAGAGAGAGAGATGATAAATGATAGATAGATGATAGATAGATGATAGATAGATAGATAGATAGATAGATGATAGACAGACAGACAGACAGACAGACAAAGACAGAGAGATACAGACTGATGTATGATAGATAGCTAGATAGCTAGATAGCTAGATAGATGATAGAGAGAGACAGATAGACAGAAGGAGAGAGAGACAGACAGACAGATACGTAAAAAGACAGAGAAAGACAGAGACAGACAGATATGATAGGCAGATGATAGATAGATGATAGATAGATAGATAGATAGATAGATAGATAGATAGATAGATAGATAGAAAGGAAAGAAAAGAAAAAGAAAAAGAAAAAGGGAAAGAAAAGGAAAAGAAAAAGAAAAGGAAAAGGAAAAGGAAAAAGAAAAAGAGAAAAGAAAGAAAGAAAGACACAGAGGGACACAGAAAGAGACACACAGAGAGATGATAGATGGTTAAATAAATAGATAACAGAGAGAGAGAGAAGAGAGAGAGAGAGAGAGAGAGAGAGAGAGAGAGAGAGAGAGAGAGAACAAACTTTTAAAACATGCTGAAAATGGTATTCATTTGAATATCAACACCTGTGGCAGTGATGATTTCTCCTGTGGTGAATCTAACAGGAGCTAAAAATGAAAATTTCCTCCATTTTCTGTTTCCCTCCTGCCTTTAAAATCTTTAAGGGAAGCTAAGGACTCACAGATGAGTATTTTAGAAGGAGGGTCTGATTATGGAGGCAAAGTGACTTCAGGACCTGTGGATCCCAAAGAGCAGAGAGACCTATTCATATTTCCTTTCTCCTTCTAATCAACATCCTGCAACATGACACAATCTTCACACATTTGCAAATAAAAGAGTCGAATTACCCTCCCGAGTGTCATCTCAGCCAAAAAGACCAATTATTCCATGGCTTAATTAAGCAGAAGGGAGAGACCGACTCATAAACACTGTATTCTAATATTCCAATAACTCAAGGCTTAATTTAAAAGAACCGGGTTGCGAGTAAAACCCATAAGAACATACTAATATCTAGTCAATGATAGTTGTTACTTACCAAAACAGGGTGGAAGAAAGACATTAGCGATATTGTAACAATTGCTTACTGATTAGACTTCGGAGAGTACTCCAGAAAATAGCATTCTGGTGGGTTTTTGTTTTTTTTACAGTAGACGATGTTCGTTAGCAAGAAAAATATATAAATACAGTTATAAATGGAAGACGGGAAAACATATGCATGGAGGGACCTTTTCAAATTTAATTTAAACATATATGCTTTTAATGGCTTCCTCTGGATGCCAGGGAGCTTATGTCAGTGAATTTGAGCTACCAATGAAAGGCTCTGTTTTTTTTTTTTTTAAAAGTTAGCAGCTGCAATTAAATAATTCAGAAATAATTAATTCAGAAGACAAGCCGTTAAATTATAACCCTTCCCACTGGTTAACTGTGTGCCAAAATGTATTGTTTAATTTATCATTCCTAGTATTTTTAGCAGGCCTCAAGGCAGGGAACGAAGCAATAATAAATAGGGAGTCATGGATAATTAGGGAAGGAAATGGGGAACAAAATTATTAAGGGCTTTAGGTGAAGTTCATTATTACTATTTAATAGTGCCCAGGAGCATTTGATCAAATTATGGATCATGTTTGAGTTGGGAGACAGGGCTGACTTTCACTCACCAGCACAACTTCAAAACTTGCAGAGAGATTTATAAAATTTTAACGAGAATGAAAAGCAGAAAATATATCGTATAGATACTGACCAAGCATATAGTTATTGGCATTGTGTCCCCCTTAATTCTTGCAGATATTGTGTTCTGGCCTGATTCCAGTATTTGATTATACAACAATGCATGCCAAAGATGAGATGTACAGTAAGAAATAGTTGACATGCAGTCTGTCTTCCTTCCTTCCTTCCTTCCTTCCTTCCTTCCTTCCTTCCTTCCTTCCTTCCTTCCTTCCTTTTCTTCCTTCCTTCCTTCTTTCCTGTAAAAACAACCCTGTTGCATTCATGGTTGACTTTCTACATTAAAAAGTAAAGGTTCCCCTCGCACATATGTGCTAGTCGTTCCCGACTCTAGGGGGCGGTGTTCATCTCCATTTCAAAGCCGAAGAGCCAGCGCTGTCCAAAGTCATCTCCGTGGTCATGTGGCAGCCATGACTCAATGCCAAAGGTGCACGGAACACTGTTACCTTCCCACCAAAGGTGGTCCCTATTTTTTCTACTTGCATTTTTTACCTGCTTTCAAACTGCTAGGTTGGCAGAACCTGGGACAAGTAACGGGAGTTCACTCCATTACATGGCACTAGGGATTCGAACCGCTGAACTGCCAACCTTTCAATTGACAAGCTCAGCGTCTTAGTCGCTGAGCCATTGAGTCCCTTTCCTTTCCTTTCCTTTCCTTTCCTTTCCTTTCCTTTCCTTTCCTTTCCTTTCCTTTCCTTTCCTTTCCTTCCTTCCTTCCTTCCTTCCTTCCTTCTTTCCATTTTTCGTGCAAAAATAAACCCCTGTTGCATTCAAGGTTGGCTTTCTGCATTACATAGATCTTACTAAACACATAGGGGCAAAAGCTAATGGCTATTGTTGATTTGGTGAGAACAATCAGTATCACACTTAAGTTATGAGAAGACTTTATTGTGAAGTTGTTCACTTCTTCAGCTGATGAAATAACTCCAGGAACGGAACTCAAATGGCCTTTCCCGGTTCCTTTTTTTCCCCCGTCTCAAGCCAGCTTTCTTGTGACATAGGTAAAAGCCGTGGTTTCATGGTGCATTTTAAACCATTTAAGATACCTTACAGGTCCATCATCCATGTTATTTTCCCAACAATGAAAGTTTTAAAGAAAGATATATGTTTAATGTAAATCCCATTAATTCAGTGATGTTACTAGTGGCTCACGTTCAACTTATAAAGCACAGCGAGGTTTAAGAAACACAATTTTAGCGTTGAATTAGAATACAGATAATTTGCAAACTGACTCTCACCAAAGAACACATATCTCCAAACATGGTTTAAGTGGCTTGTTTGCAGTTTTAATTCTCCGATCCTAATGCTTGTTTGTTTGTTTATTCATGTCAGAAGCATCACGGTTAAAAGAAAGCATGCTACATGACATAAAATTAAAAATAAAGAGTAAAATATGTACAAGCTAAACAGATCTTGCCCAGAAACGAGCAACATTAATTGTGTTATCTTAATGCTATTTTCTGTATATTTGTGTGTGGGTATGTGATGCAAGAGAGAAAAAGACAGACAGACAGACAGACAGAGACAGAGACAGAGAGAGACAGAAAGACAGAGAGAGACAAAGAGACAAGAGAGAGAGAGAGAGAGAGAGAGAGAGAGAGAGAGAGAAAGAAGAGACAGAGAGACAAGAGAGACGGAGACAGAGAGACAGAGAGAGACAGAGAGACAGACACACACACACACACACAGAGAGAGACAGAGACAGAGACACAGAGAGACAGAGAGAGACAGAGAGGAGAAAGAGAAAGAGACACAGAGAGACAGAGAGAGAGAGACAGACACAGAGAGACAGAGAGAGACAGACAGACACAGAGAGACAGAGAGAGACGAGAGAGACGAGAGAGAAAGAGAGAGAGAGAGAAAGAGACAGACAGAGACAGAGACACACAGAGAGAGACAGAAACAGAAAGACAGAGAGAGACAGAGGCAAAATACTAGGCCTTCTAATCTACCTATAGTGGATATCAATAAAAACAGAGGATAGAAAGGAATCTGATGAAATTTGCTGACAGCTTAGTTGCAGACGGGTGAAAACTAGTTATTCGTGTTCCATTTTGTTTATATGTCTGCCCAAACATACAAACAAAGCTCCTTCTTTTACCTTGTCTCACTGAATTTCTTTTGCTGTCAGGTCCATTACTTTCGGTTTGCCTTCAGCAGGTTTTTGCATGATCTGACCTCTCATTTCATATGCCATTCCACTGAAACTCTGCCTCCAGAAAACTAATAATAATATGAACGTCTGCTGACTCATTCTCAAGGTGAACTCAGCATTATGTTCCTCTCTACCTTTCCCTATGGGTATTTCAGGTTTATTTTAGAAGTACTGTATACTATTAGTTTTCTTCCACAATTCATTATGATATATTTTATTTATTTATTTATTTTGTCAAGCATGTATTTTATGACAGATGCAAGTGTAAACATAATTATAAATACACGAAAAGGATACGAATAAAAGGAAACATTAGGACAGGGACGGTAGGCACTCTGGTGCGCTTATGCACGCCCCTTACAGACCTTTTAGGAATG